TCATGTTTTATACACAACTTTTTATCAGCACCAGTAGTCTTAACAGACAAGTACTGTTGCTAACACTCTCTCGTGTTTTATACACAACTTTCTGATGCTTCAGTAGTCTTAACAGACAAGTACTTTGCTAACACTCTCTTCTGTTTTATACCCAATTTTCTGATACACCAGTAGTGTTAACATACAAATAGAGAGTGTTAGCAACAGGAAAGTTGTGTATAAAACATGATGTTAAGACTACTGAACTATCAGGACAAGTCCTGTTGCTAACACTCTCTCATGTTTTATACACAATTTTCTGATACACCAGTAGTCTTAACAGACAAGTCCTGTTGCTAGCTCTCTCTCATGTTTTATACACAACTTTCTGATACTTCAATATCATATCGAGTTAATACCGTTAGTAATACAGTCTCTTATGTTATACACCAATTTCTGAATGATAAAAAGAACTTGTGACTCCAATGACCTACCTTTTGTCTTCGTTAGAAGCGAGAAGTGGACTGAACTTGATTCAAACTCCGGTTTCACTTGGTATATGCTCTAACCACTGAAGTTATTGGGTCGTGAATAAAAAGGTCCTTAGTCTTTCGCTAATTGTTATTATTTTTTTTTTCAGAAACGAAAAGTTTGTAAGCTCCAGAATTTTAATGTGAATTAAGGGAAGAAAGTGTAAGACTTTCAGTATTTAATACCCATTAGTTTAATTAGTAAAAATGTCTATTAATTACAATTTAGAATCTTATATCACTCGATATAAGTTTTGATTTTACACACGAAGTTTACAAAAGCTAGTGTTATCTTACTATTAATTATGTTTTTAATCATGGATAATGTTTAATAGAGCCTACAAGTTTGAGTAGAAATGTACAAAACTTAGCGTAAGTATTATTTTCTATACACACTAGATTAGCTCGTAAGAAGCCCAGCTCTAATAAATTGAATAATTATTTTCCATGAGATTACTGTTGGATTGATAATGTACATGAGGTATTGCAGTAATGTATTTATTTATGTCTCTGTGCACAACGAAATTCGTTGCAAGTTTTGACAATCATGTAAACCAGCAGCTGGTGGGACATCTATATATAGAATGGTTGACGTTTTACCAAGTGTGGTAGAAGTCATCGCCCATTGTTCTGTACACGTTTTTCTTTGGACGCCAGATATACGGGCTTCTTTTTTTAACATAGGACTCGTACATATCGTACTGCAGCACAGGTGTCTAGTTGGATATCGCTGTACCGACGTGTGACACTTGCGCTTCTAGTGTGCACGTGACGCATATATTTACCAACTTGCACGTCATTCCCTGATTGGTTGAATTTACAATAGCATAAAGGAGGTGCAGCCCGTAAGACAAGAACAACTCACGTATGTCTGTGGCAATCAGTGTTTTGTCACTGCTGGGAGGAGGTGAGAAAGGTATAGTAGCTTCTCGAACACTGTGTTTTGTGTTGTATAGTGATATAACATGGCAGGGATCTATTAACGAATCATTTTAGTACGTAAATTAAGTTGTCTGCTATCTAAATATGTATTTTCTTAACTATGTGTGTGTATATATATTTATATACACAGATTTAATTATTTATGTGTAGGCATGTTGATATTTAAATGTGAGAAAAACGTAACCACGTATGTTCTCATTCTATACATAGTATAATTTTAAAATGAGTTTGTTTGTTTTTTATTATTTAAGTGAACATAGATTAGTCACTGACGTAACATACACGATTGCCCAAAATGTCTTTCTGTATTTCTTTGTCCCCAAACTTAGATGAAACAATCACACCCAATATATTACATTTACTTCGGGCACCTGCCCATGTAGACGTGTAACGTAGATGTGAAACACTGGGCGCAATTCTCGTACTACCCTCAAGCTAAGTTAGTGAATTGTTCTACGATCGTAATAAAATTTTATATCACAATAGTTGTAACATGAATCCTGTAGAAACAAAGTGAACATTAAGTAAATCTTTCGGCCTTTAAAACCCAACATTTGCATTAGTAAGAAACCTGGTGGTAAAATATATTTCTAGAAATAAGAAACGCCTGCTGCTTTGTGCCACCTTCAGTCTTTCAATTTGCTGTTAAATTAACAAAATGGTAAATAGTGCCTACAAATGTATGTTGGAAAAAATTACAAGCATTAGTGCAAGTATTGTTTCAATAAACGCTCAGTAAGCTCGTAAAAGACTCAACTTCAATACTTAAAGTTTTTTTTGTTTTTACTTTTGAGTTATTCTTGAGTTATTGCGTGTGTTTTTGTTGTTTTTAAAGCTTCGATCTCACAACTAAATATCAAGAGAATGCGAGAGAGTAACATGCAACAAATTAGATATGCCTAACGGGAAACATTATAAACATATTTTGTTTAAAGATAATATTGCTCGACCAACAAAGGTCTTCATAGTAAATCAAATAATAATACGACCAAGATTTAGTTTCAAGCCATCTGTCTTGTACCAGGAGTGGACCTAAAGCCAAAATGTTGTACAGTGAGTATAGTTAGAGCGCTGAAAGCAGAAAAAAAAAAACTGAATTTTGATCTTTTTTTTTTCTTCTTCAAGTTCAATTTACAATTTAAAAAATCGACCCATTCTTCAAGAAGTGAATTTTGGAGCAGTAAGTTTAGGGTTTCTTCAACTGGTATTATAATTAGTTGCATTGAATGTTTTGTGATCTGAACAGTCTTTATTTCAGACAGTTTAAACGCATCGGTGAAACTTCAACTAATAATTACGTTTTTTTTCAATAAAGATTTTATAGGGTATTTATCAATAACTATTCATGATTTGATTTTTAAGTATAAGGCTCTTGATCCAATCATTTTTCACCTTTCTGAAGATGGCTCTTTGTTAGAAGCACTGTGGTGGAACTGACTTATTCTCTTAGTAAAGATATGTATTTACTATTATTTTTAACTCACAGTAGTAATAGTGTTAACCAATGTAGACCCAATTGGTTAAGTTAGTGAAAGAGCTAAACCTCAATATAATTAGACCAATTTACAAATAACTTGAATTTCTGATAATAAAGTTTCGATCCCGTGAAAGACAGATTGCGAATCGAGCATCCTAAACATTAAGGCATACAGGGCCTTAATCGTAAAGATTTTTAAAGAGTTTCTGTCAAACTGTTCTTAAGACATATCACTTTTAACCTCAAATTAATTTGTCCTTACTGCTAAGTTCTTTATAGAGTTTAGCATGTTTCTGTAGATCAGAATTTCTCGATCGATTTGTCGCGATTCAAAATTGGGTCGTCAGAATGTGTGGAAATATCGCGAATAGACTTTGGAAATTATATAATATTTTATTTATCTATTTAGTAAGCTAGATGCGGTTCTCCATTAAAGCTACTTACTGGACTGATATTAATGTTTACAAATAAGGCTCGAGCTAACAAGGATTGAGAACCGGTGCCCTAGATGAGGTCTCAAGTTTTGTGTTTCAGCGCGTGTAAAAGAGCATCAAAGAAACATTGTCTGTTATAGCTTACGCTACTTTTAATTCTGTGATGTCTCGTTTTAAGGAAATACAGTATAAGGCGTTAAAAAAAGACTTTGCTAAACTTTTCAATTCTTTGAGTTATGGGCAAATTATCACACATAGATGTGTATACTTGTAAACAGTGTTTACTACTTTAAGCCCATCGCCCCATAATGATTCTTCTCCAGCTAACTCTCCCCCAGGGGTACCTCGGTGTTTTTAGTTCTACTTCTGCGTGTCGTCGGTTTTCACTACAGTGCATCATATTCCACTCCCAAGTCTTGAGTCCGTCGTCAACGGTTTTCGTAACCCTCTTTGTTTTGCAGCTTGAGGTGGTTAACCTAAGCCCAACCTCTTTTTTCTCGAGGACAGGCGTTCGTTTTTCATCTTGGTCTGTCCACTTTGGGTGGCATATAGCTCGCAGGGTCATTAAGACACGCAAAGCCACCTCGCGGGCAAAGACTGTTTGGCGACAGTTTAATAATAACTTGAATAATATTTTTTGTGTTAGTTTTGTTAATTTTTCGTAGTTTTAAAACAATTTTTATTTATTTAAATACAAGCTGCATTGTTTTGTAATCGTATACAGTTTCCATACGATCACAGCAAGAAACGGGTAAGGGTGGGACTTTTTTAAGACACGCCATTTCGTTTTACGTCGGTAGGGGTTTTTAATGTATTTTCGGTTTTTGTATAATTTTTATATACCAATTTTTTATGTTTTTTAAGCAGCGAATTGGTGGCATTGTATCCTAGAGGTACCCCCCAGTGGTACAGCGATACGTCTGCGGACTTACAACGCTAGAAACCTGGTTTCGATACCAGTGGTAGGCAGAGCACAGATAGCCCATTGTGTAGCTTTGTGCTTAATTACAAACAAACCCTAGAGGTATAGTATTATTTAAAAAATAAATTAATAAAATGCTATATCTAATATATATATTTTTTTTTCAATAAAAATATGGTGTTAAACCTCTACAGATACTTTAAAACTTAACCCGATAACTTATACACAAATGTATTTCATATGATTAATATTCGATATCTGACACCCGGCAACTCTTTTTATGAAAAAGTTCTTACGCTTTAACTGGTCATGAATAAGTTAAAACTTTGTCAGAGGTGCCAAGTTGTTGATCAGTTGTGGACGTTTGAGGCTCAAGGAATCGTGCAAGTACTCGTGAGGCCCATATTGTTCTACACCTACAATGTGGGTGTAAAACAGTATAGGGGATTATTGTTGGCTTATCGCTGAGGAAACGTTGCGTTTGCCATCTCCGGGAAGCGCGCGCGTATCACCATGGCAACACCTACCCAAATCTGTATGCACGAGAGTTATTAAGAAAGCAGTCACACCTGTAAATTTTTTATTGTTTTATGCAACGTCTTGTTTAACAGTGATTTTTAGGCGGTGGGAGGTAACTTCTCCTCGTAGCTAACAAAACCACTTTACAAGTATTTTCATCTTTGTTTTATTTATTTCGTCAGCCCAATTCATTAACAAGCAACTGTCAACAGGTAATTTAGTTTTAAAATATATAAAAACGATATAAGAGACTGTTGATAACAATACGCGACTGATTCTAAATACTTAGTCTTTATTTTAATCTTTCCAGAGACCACGTTGCTATGGTAGCTGTAACACACTCCCTCCTACCACCATTTTATTGACCTTGGAGCAAAGGTAATAAAACACTCCCAGACAAAGCGGGATCTTTGCACCTCTTAACCAGCTTAGAACAAGCATGAAAATCAAAAAATACTGAATGGCTTTCTGTTACAATGTTAACAAAGTTCTGGAGTCGCTCAGTTTTGTCTTTGATCGCAGTAATGATGATAATCGATATGAAATATTCGGAAAAGCAGTCTTCAAGTGAATTTGTAACTATCAATAGAAGTGATAATGACTGGAATGCATAGAATCACCAGTTGGATACATTCGTTGTTACCGATACTTTCGGTCGTAATTCCAATAATATCTCATGACGTTCAACCGGCTTAAGAGATTTAAGTTAGTCCTAAATCAATGTATTAAGATAACAACGCAAAAAAAAATCGTCATGATAAAAATAGGTATAATAAATAAATTGAAAATTATATATTATATACCCCCCTCAGTGGCATAGTGGTACGTCTGAAGGCTTATAACGTTAAATACCGGGTTTCAATACCCGTGGTAGGCACAGCACAGAAAGCCTATTGGGTAGCTCTGCGCTTAAATACAAACAATCAATAATATTTAATATTAAGCATTAAAACCCATTGTAGATTGATTGCACGAGGTGAACAAGGAGAACCCTGATTTAGCTGTACTTTTTATGCTAGACGTTTTCACATTACATTACTTCACTAACATAACCAAACTTGGGAGCTGAGAAGCCGTGTCCTTGTACTTTGGTTTTATAACTTTGGACCAAAGCCCTTAAGACCAGGAACAATAAGTAACACGAAGCTCTTCTTCACGGTTAATGTGATCTTTTAAGTCCGAGAAAAATAAATAGTCAATTACAAGTTGTTTCCAGCCTGATAAAAGCTAACTCATGTGTCAAATATGAATCTAGTTCACAAAACTAGCTATAGGTGGATTTTTCACATTAGCTGTAAACAGAGCCTTCACGTCTTGCCATTTTCTGCACCCCTGTCTAATGTATAAATAGCTAACTTTTAAACTCTCCGCCAACGGCAATTATACGAACTTACGACGCGAAATTCCGGAGTTCGATTCCCCGTCATGGATAGAGCACAGATAGCCTATTACGTAGCTTTCTACTAAATCAATCTTTCAAATTCGTAAAAGATGGAACACTATTTGTTGTAAGCCTAACCATCTAAATTCAAAAACAACATTTAAAATTCAGTAGGTTGTCTTGTTTTATTCATTCAAAAAGCAAAACTTATTCATCTGTGTAATTAATCAGTACTTTTCTCAGACAACAGTACCGATAGCAACCAAATTCTTTACCTATAGCTTATGCCAAGTTGGACAGGCTTCCGTGGCGCAATTTCAAGATCGTGTCTTGACCGCAGCAAAACGAAAAATATGTCACTATTAGCACGTGCAGAAGAAAGTTTCTTACTACAAAGAAAACAAGTTAATGTCCACTTCTATGTGACCTGGACTAAACTTTCATCTCGTAGATTATTCTAGACTCACAGGATCATTCTTTCACAAATTAAAATATCAATTCATTCGAATGTTCGTTGTTGCGCCCAGTGCTTCAATTCTAGTTCAAAGTTGAGACGAATTAATAAAAAAAAACAAATGTTGAATTACTTGCTTATGAATGCGTACGTATAAAATATTTTCTTGTTGAGCTTCGAACCCTTCGAGAATTATCGATCTTAGTTTGGTTTTGAATTTCGCGAAAAGCTAATCAAGAGCTATCTGCGCTAGCCGTCCCTAACTTAGGAGTGATAGACGAGAGGGAAAGCAGCTAGTCATCACCGCCAACTACAACTACTAGGCTACTTTTTTTACTAACGAATAGTGGAATTGACCGTCACATTATAACGCCCCCCACAACTAAAAGGGCGAGCATGTTCGATGACGGGGATTAGAACCCGCATATTGCGAGTCGAGCTCGTTAACCACCAGGCCGAAGTACTGATTTTGAATAACAATCTTAAAAGATCAGGAAAATTTGCTGGAGAGGACGGCTAGATATTCACGAGTTTCGTCATTTTGATAATAATTTCTCATTTGTCTTTACAAGCTGCAGTTTCTCTAACAGCCCACTAGCAAAAACAATGAATACATGTAACATATGAGTCGAAAATTGAGATCTGGTCATCACGATGTGCTTGGTTTGTCACTATTACGTTGTCGAGTAGCACAATGTTGACTGGAACTCGCTAAGGAGAAATTACGAGTAGTTATAGTTTTCCACGCGACTTTTAGAAGCAATTTTTGACATAAACAAAGTAATTTATTTAATTCATCTTAATAAGTCAATTTTCTGAATTCACCGCATAAATGCATTGTAAAAATTCTAAAAACATCGTTTAAAGATATTACGTATTATTAGTTGTAGATATGCCCCCAGTGGCACAGTGGTATGTCTGTGAACTTATAACGCTAGAATCCGGGTTTCGATACCCGTTGTGGGCAGAATACAGATAGCCCTTTACGTAGCTTTGTTGTTTTTACTTCGAGTCCTCGTTGGATCCCCCCCCCCAGTGGCACAGCGGAATGTCTGCAGACTTACAATGCTAGAATCCGGGTTTCAATACCCGTGGTTGGCAGAGCACAGATAGCCCATCGTGTAGCTTTGTGATTAATTACAAAAACAAATAAGACATGTCTGTTCTATTAAAATACTTCTAAAATGATACAAATTAACAACTGTCTGGTTAGTGTCTAACGTACATTGAAACAAAACCTCATTCAGTTATTAATATATTTATTTTATTTGGGTAATGTATTGTTCAGTCAACCGATAGAATGTTAATGAGGTGTGTTTTGATGATAACTTGGTTTAAAATAATTTCTATTGTAAAATAGTGCACCCTCCATCCCCAGTGACACAGCGGAATGTCTGCGGTCTTTTGACGCTATAAGCCGGATTTCGATACCCGGGGTAGGCACAGCACAGATAGGCATTATGTAGCTTTAACTACAAATAAACAAAGTAAAAGTACTCATAAATACCGCATAAGATTTTATACCTGACGTAAAGGTCCACCAACTTACTTGATTACGTAATTACAATACTATCCAAGAACCCATTTCCTCTCATCATAAAATTCGTTTTCGTTGTAGGTTGCTTCTCCATTATAGTGGAACGTACTGTCCTATCATTCAATAACTATGTGCTTTGTTTAAACTTGGCTTTTTCTGAAGCCAAACAACAATATACAAGCTTTTCCATATCAAACGAGCTATACAGATAAAAAAATAATAATATTCTAATTTCAAAGTGAAGATTTTCGATCGAGTTGCAGCAGTATTCTGTTCACCAAAAGATTCGAAATTCGGAAAACTTCATTCCCAGCCAGTGACCTCAATAATTGGCTGGTCATTCCAGCGTTCAGCCAGTGACCTCAATAATTGGCTGGTCATTCCAACATGTCAGTGATTCATCAAAATTAGTTAACTTTTGTTCCAATGGCTCAAGTACATAATTAGTGTTTGTGAATCGTCTACACTCTACAAGGACTGCAAATCATGGAAAAAATTTAGTAATCGCTTAGGTAAAACTTTTTATTATGCACTGTTTTCGTCTCATTCGTATTATGCATAATCAAACACCGTTCCATTTCATTTAACTTGTGCAGGAACAAACAAAGCATTTATGAGATTCATTCTAATCAAAGTCAGTGTGTATGAGTACTTCCTCAGAAACAACCGTTCGTTCTTTTCATATCAGTAGGTTTAGGTTGAGCCGTACCTGATACACAATGACCTCTGGCAAATAAACAGGGCAATAAATTATTGGTGATTCGGAAGCTCCTACAGTAGTTGGAAGTTAAAGCTGAGCTATAATATTTGAACAATAACTTGTTATCGCGTTATGTAATCTTATCACGCATTGAAATTTCAAATTTATTCCACAAGATATGTGAAAAATACTTATAGCCAGAAATATAGTTCAGATATTCATCTTTGATTTTTCGAATGTTTAATATTCACGGTTTTTGTAGAAGTCTGGCTACTTGTTTAAGCAAAGCATATTCGGTGTCTTCCATCAAGAGCACACTAACTTAACATACCTTCACCAGAAATTATCTACCATCACGTAGTTTAGGGATGACTTGTAAGTTGTTTCGTGCTTAGCTTATGTCTGTGAATGTATGTAACAATGAATTAGCTGTTTTTTGTGGGTTTTTTTAAATACACCCTACATCAATGACTCGGCTAAGTCATGTTTCTATGCACTTTTTAAGAGATAGCGCGCTCTTGTACTTGCATTCAAATTCTAAATGTATTCGAGCTTCTAGTTCTTAATGACTGAAAGCGGGTACTTTTTAGATAAGTGAAAAGGTGTTTCTAGCATGACGTTAACATTTTTGTTTGCCATAGGCATATGAACAGTGTACGATAAGGGTCACGGTTTGTGTGGAATATTAGGCCTACTACCTACAGATGTGCCAACATTCACTAGTTTTCGTGCTTAAAAAGTCCTACATTGAACAAGTTAAGCGTGTTCCATTGTGTGGTTTTATTCAATGGCACAGAAGAAGTTTCTTAACCACCAGCAAAGCCTTTTAACAATTCTAAGAAAAAATTGCCAAGAAGTTCTTACGATAGTTATGTGAAACGCAGGGGAAGGAGTTGAATAGTAAGACGATTGAAACCTAAGCTGTCAGAGTTTTGGTTTTTATTTTATTTATGGTCCAATTAAAATTCTTCTAATTTTTTTACAGATATTATAATCACTTTGGGGTTATTTTAAGAATACTGGAGTCAATTTTGATCTATTTATTTAGCTTGTGCAATTTTATTCTAAATGATTAATACTGAATTTGGCTTGGTTTGTTTGGCTTGTTGCCATACAGTCGAGCAGACAGTAAATACTAGGCCTATTCCTCTAGTGTCGAGAGATAAGAGATACGTTAGAACAGTTAGATAGTAAATTAGTAGGCCTGTTCGTTAACTGTTAAAACATTAAGAACAAAATAGAAGAACAGTAGTAGGCCTGATTAGTGTTAAGCAAAACAGCTAACTATATTGTCTTCAAACAAAATATATTATTAAATTGTATTGTGTTATATTAAAAAGTGACTATAATTACAAATAATATAATCACTTTCGAGTTATTTAAAGATTACAGTAGTTTTCTTGGACTAAATTACTATAGTTGGTGTAGTGAAAATAAACTTGGTTGTTAATACTAGGCTCGGCGTGTATTTGTTTGCCCTGTTTCTGTAGTGTCAAGCAGCGATTAACAGTTCTGATCTCCAGTCTTTTTATTTATAGTATTATTAAAATTGCAGTCCCTTGTTACTTACATTGGTTGCTGCCGACCGGTTACCTCCCTGTGGTTGGTGGTTCGAAATTAGGGATGGCGCCGCTCCACCTATACTGCGCACTGTCAAACGTAATTGAAAAGAGAAAAATGAAAAAAGTTGCGCTTTTACAGTATTTAAACATTCTTTACCCCATTACCCCACGAACGCTAATCTCAAGATAAGGGGTCGCACATAAATTAATATCTATGAATTATGAATTTTTCATTTATTTTAGGCCTGATTTTGAGCTGTTCTCTTATGGTTAGCGAGTCGAACTATGAATCTGAGACTCCGTTGTTCGGGCTACGCACTTCAGAGCCGTGGTACGTTATAAGAACAATGGTCAAATTCCAATATTCGGTCTGACAAGAATAGCCCAAGAGTTGACGGTGAGTGATGTTGTCTACCACTTCAAAATTAAGGGCGGCTATAGCTTTGAGTAAAATTAAACAAACAAGCTAATGTTTGGTCCTATTTATATCGTACCAGAGCTGAAAAAATATATTGTAGAATATAGAAATTAATTTCAATTCGCACATATTGAGCTTTCACATAGATGGAGTATTTGTGTAGAGAAATGGAAAGTAGATAAACAAACACACAAAGGAAAAAATTTAGTTTGAAACAGTAATAAAATTTCCAATCTAGACAATACGTATAAGTAGTTTAACTCCACATTTTGTTATATTAGTTTTTATGTAAGAATTGAGCTCGTTGTAAAAATATGGATGTACCATCATTTTATTAACATACTTACAACGAGTTTTCTGGCTTTGCTAAAAATACTTTTTGAAGTTACCGGTGTTTATGAAGTGGTTTACTGGTTTTGGAATGTTACTTTTTTTTTAAATATCAGTTTAAATTAATAATTTCATGCGTATAAAATAATCCAAATGACTTTGTAAGGTAATGTATAACTTAGATTAAAACTAAGTCAAGGATTATTTGCCTAATAATAAATTATATTTAGATAAAGTGGTTAGTTAGACGTTTCTAACCAAAATATTGTGTAATATTTCATAAAATATACGACAGTTTATCTGATAATGACCACAGGAGTGGTCGAAACATTGTTATTAAGTTAAAAAATAAAGTAACTAAATAATCCAATCAAAAATGTATGTCTGTGGACTTTTATAAAAACTTAATATTTCATGATTATCTTGTTTTACTATTCTTTTAATCAAGGTTGTATTTCTTGATTTTTATAATCATCGTGCGTGTACAATTTCTTGTCGATATTTTTATTGTGATAATTAGTTTCATAATGACCAAATTGGCTTGTTTGTAGTTAAGCAGAAAGTTACACGATAGGCTATCCGTGCTGTGCCCACAACGGGCATGGAAACCTGGTTTTTGGTGTATACGTCCATAGACTTACTGCAAAGTCACTGGGAGGCGGCCATATTGGTACTGATATGTTTATTCATTTTGTGGTAGTGTTATTACACAGACTTAAACAAATTATTTGTCTCTTTTAAATATTATACGTTAACATTGTTGTTTTAATACTGCATTCAGTTTTGTAAATAAAATCGTGCTGACAGTACAAATACTGAGTTTTTTGGGGGGGGAAATGCTGACTTTTTTTAATACAAAAAACGTCAGTTCATAAGGTTTTAAGTGAACTATTGATACTCCGAGAACTATTAATACTAGCGTATAGTTTATAGCCTTCAAAAATGACTGGACAAGTACTACCACCCCCACCCCCACAGTATACCATAACCTCAGATTTCATAGCTAAATGAACTATATAAACTTTGCGAAATCAAACTTGACCAACAAAGAGGTAGAAAAGTGCAGTCGAGGCAGTCAAACGTCGGTAAATT